CAACTTTCCAACAATCTGAAAGTGTTTCCCATAGTAGAAAATTAAACCCCGTATTTAACAAGCTGGAGAGTTTGCATTTTTAGGTGTGCTGGCAACACATCTCAACTCCTCCTTGGATCTGTATCACCTTCTGCAGCCCATCTGCACTCATCCTAGTATTAATATTGCCCTCGATCACTGTCTTTCCCATTGTTGGAGTAAAAGCGGGGAGAGCGAGATTAGAATGAGATTTAATGTAAGATTGCAACAGCACTGTTGATTAGAAGGCTGCTTTAGAGCAATCAGATGCTCTAGCAGGATAATACTACAGGCTTATATACTACAAAAATGGTAACTAGAACATTCTACATGTATCTACAACTGTCTGTATTACTAAGAGTCTTATCAATCAATTGCCCGAAGGCCGAGCTGCATTATTAATCCCAACACCCATCCAGCAGCCAAGCACCAGTTCAGCATCATTAGTTCAGCATCATCCAGTCCAGTAGTATCTCATAGCCACCAGTTTACATATAGTTCCGTCACCTGTACCTGATTGGATTTGAGACGACTTGGACCACCTCGCACACCTTGTCTCTTCTCCGCACCCAGAGTCGGAGTCGGCGTATCAAGGTACATGAGGTTGGTGGCTTGAACCAGCACCGATGTGCATTCCGATGGGTCTTTTGCGATCAAATTTAGCGATATTAACTGAGACCACGGCAAGAGGAAAGCGGAATATGGGAACTTCCTCCCAAAGAATGGCGGTAGTTAACTGAGGTGCCTCGGTCAATGTCATGGAAATGGAGTGAGAGTTATAGGCAGAGATGTGGAGTTCCAGTTCGTGAAGGAGGGGTAGGGGGTCATCAAGGATGGGCAGCGGGAACCGAATTGGTTCGAGTTTAAGGGTGACATGTTCCCACCGTGTACGATAAGCAACTATCACCTCGAGCATCTCGTCATCGTAACAGGCCCAGTCCTCCGATCGAATTGAAGCGGACAACAGCCAGATCTGCCCAACCAGGCCTTCGCCATGTCCATTTTATTCTGCTCCAACGATACTGCCCTCCGGAGGGCCGGCACGGTATTGGAGTAAGTGAGATCATAGCCTCGGGCATCCCTCGGGCATGACCTCGGGCATCGGGCAAGCCGCCAGTGCAAACCTGTGCTCTATGGAGCATTGTAGAACACATGAGAATATTCGGTATGATTATGACTCGTTCCCGCAGTATATAAGTAGCTAGTATCTGTACTATGGAGAACAACATCTTGTCTTTTCCCCTCATCATCTCTGTGTGATTTACCGTAAGATTAAGTCTAAGTACACGCTCACCCCGTGTCAGGTAAGCTTTCAAGTCACCGCGCCAATACACGGCCAGAGCTATGGCTCTCTATTTTCCACAAATTTGGGTTAGAAGGATTGGCGAACGGTGTCCCGTAACTGGTGGCAATTGGAGTAGATTGGGAGGAAATGAATGAAGATTACGGAGACGAGTTTGTCGGAAAAATCTTTTTTGCCATATCAGGTCTGAGACCATCTGATGACCAAATATGGGCATATATTGCCCGGCGGCGGCAATATTAGGTCTTATATGATGAGCTCAGAACACATAATATACAAACTAGTTACCCGCTCGTAAAAACATGGCCCCGTCGATCACGTCGTTGAGAAGCATCAAAGGATGGCTTGCTAGCCTCGAAAACGGGGATCATATTGCACCATCCACACACATACTCGACCACATTTGCAGCTCGGGGCACGGAAGTGAGCGGAGGGAGACCGTATTAGTAGACGGGACAAAATGCGCGGAAGATTCAAGTTGACAGTGGGGCGGTGCTATGACATCACGCGTTGTTTGGCTCCACATTGACACTGTAACTCGAACCACCACCATGTCTGCTTTGCGCAAAAGAACCCGCATCTAGGACTCTGATGACGAATCACAATCTGAGAAGGAGTCTGCTTCACCCACGCGCTCCCCGAGTCCCGAGCTGCGGGATGATCTTCCTGCCGGCGAGTTGTATCAAGTAAGATTTTTGGTGCCCCAAACTGTTTCACACCTAATACATCCAGGCCGCGCGATTGCAGCAGAAGAAGGCCAATGACGCTAGGAAGGAACTTCGGGTCGCGCAGCGTCAACTTGCGGATATCACCAATCAGGACGACACAGCACCTAAACGTGGGAGGAAGAAGCGCAAGATCGTTTATGGTGGGAGCGATGACGAGACAAAGGAGGTAAAGAATCTCGCCCACAAATTCACCCTGATGAAGCTGCTATGGATCCCGGACCTCCAAAAGACCGTGAACACAAAGGTTGATGACCAGTATAACCCCCTGGAACGTTTTGAGAATGCGGCATCCAAGGTGCAGGGAGAGCTGGCGGATCTATTGGAAACGTTGCCGGAGAAGTTTCACGGGGAGGTAATGCGTTCAGAGTGGTTTATTAAGGAGGTGCGTCACCAGTTTTTTTTGGCTTCACCTTCTGTAATTGAAGATCTCCAGTTTCACACTGCTATGGGTACGCAGCGCAGTAACGCTGCCGGCCGGCTTCGTCGCGAGTGTGGACCCGAAATCTTTGATTGCACCACCGCCGATCTGTCGACTTCGGAGGCTCGCCGGGACAAGTTTCGCGACCAGATCGGTTACGTCGAAGATGCAGAGGGCAAACCGCATTACGAGGCGCTCAACGTCGACCTCCTTCACAAGGATTACAATGGATCGTACAATATCAAAACAGTATTTCGCAGCCCGGCGCTTCATTTAGTACGTTGAACTAATTTTTATATGCTGGCGTTGACGTGTTCTAGGCTTTTGCCGGTCTCACACGCGGACCCAAAGCGGTTACAGCAATGAAAACCGCCAATAAACCCATCCAGGCGACGGGGAAATGTGTCTCCCAACTTTGGCACCTTGATCACGGTACTCCGGGCTGCATCGCTGCAACTGGTATTCTCGTATGTTCCTTTTCTGCCTCTGACCACTTTTGCTAATATTTTCCAGGTTCGATGGGCAGCTTCCGCCGACATCGAGCTTACCCCACGTGGCGCCGAGACTGGCATCAATTGGCAGGGCGACCTCGAGAAGTACATTGAGTACTGTAGAGTTTCGATCAATTCGAATGGGGGTGTGACCTGTGACCACGACTTTCGAACCTGAGTTTTCGAAAATGGGTCGAGAGACGTGTGACACCCTCAAAAATTTCGAAAATTCACCCAAAGTCGGTGGGTTTGTTTATCAAACCATGCTACTTGGTCAATGTAGGACACTCTGCCAAGAGAATTAGCCAAAAAGAGACGCGATGAAAAATAGAAAAATACACTTTTTTGGTCAATTCTATCGACCCCAGCGCAATTATTAACCCTCCCAACAGCCTGAAGATCCCAGATGAGCCAAAAAATGCCCTGATTACCCCTCCAATAAACGTGCCACGCGCGCGAAAATTCGATTTTGGGGCGGTTTTGCGAATTTTGTGACTTTTCCGACACATTCGAAAATACCTTCGGTGACCCGTGACAGATTCGAATATTTTCTGAAATTTTCGGGCCTGTGACGCGTGACATCCGAATTGAATGAAACTCTACAGTACCTTCAAAATGGCCTTGACAAGCGCAAGACCTCTGTTCTCAAGATCTTCCGTGAGTGGGATGATATCTTCTTTCCCGACACAGATTCCAGCCTTGTGGCAACCAATGGGGGCGAGGATGGGCAGCTTCCGCCGACATCGAGCTTACCCCACGTGGCGCCGAGACTGGCATCAATTGGCAGGGCGACCTCGAGAAGTACATTGAGTACCTTCAAAATGGCCTTGACAAGCGCAAGACCTCTGTTCTCAAGATCTTCCGTGAGTGGGATGATATCTTCTTTCCCGACACAGACTCCAGCCTTGTGGCAACCAATGGGGGCGAGGGTCACACCGAGAAACATGTGCAAGATGTGATGGATTTGTTGAATGCGGATGACGAGGAGGTGCCTGAAACTGATTAAACAGCATTACATGTACCTATAGTCCAATACACGTGTGCGGCACATATCCAAGTCGTTTTGAGTTGTTAGCAAGTTTGAGTGATGTGCCGAAAGGGTGCTATGTAGTGTATCAAACAACCTAAAAGTGTATGTCCAGTTTAGTCTAGTGGTTATCGCCTTAGTTTTATTCGTAATCATGACCTCGCGCGTTCAAATCTCACAGTTCTCACTTCTTACAATTCCCAGAATCGTTACTGACTTCCTTAGCTTCGACTACTGACTGGGCCGTAGAAAGATAACAAAAAAAGGTAGTTCCTCATGGGCAAAAAAGGTGCAATAAATTTTATTTTTCTCTTCCTCGCCGGTTGACCTTATCAGGTCTGATATTGGGTCATAGTGCAGATATTGAGCCCTCAGACCAATATTGCCCACAAGGTCTGATATAGTCTGATATAGCAAAATGGTACACTTTCAAAAAAATATGGACCCATTTACTCTGACGGCCTTATAGCGCAAAATATGACCATATATTCTCAGATATTTTATCAAAGATTTTTCCGACATTCGTTCGGTAAGGTGAAGACCGGGTATTTGCAGGAACAGAGCCATTCCGTGAATGTTTCCTTTTCTGCCAGGAGCACACGGATCGCGCGCCGTAAATTTAGGATTTCGGACTCTATGGCTGCGATGCGAGCCTGAGCACGATCTTGCTCGAAGTGGTCATCCTGCTCGGGCTGAGATCCAAGCGTCGCGGGCTGGAAACAGGCGCTACTTCACATTCATGAACCAAGTTGCCGTCCGTTTGGATGGTCCACGTACCGATTATTTTGCGTCGAGAAATTAGAATAGAGAAAGAGAAAATGCAAATGGCACTGCCCCCCGGTCCGATCAATAGACTTTGCAATTGACGCCCCAGTCCATGAGGTCGTCTGAGACGCGTGCCTTCAAGACGAGCGTCTCCTACGAAGTCACCCGGCTTCACGATTAAGCAAAGTGGCTCGAATTACATCTCCCCTTAAAATGTTATCCAATGCGGTGACCCGCCCTGGAGAATAACTCGGATGTGGTGCACGGCGCACACCCCCACAATATGTTGAAGGAAGGTCTTGTTGAGGCGGGAGTCCTGGGTTCGACTCCCAGCATCCGAGTACATCGAGGTCTATGCATTTTTTTGCATCCCGCGCGATCACTCCGACTCACAAAAGTTCCCTCCAAGCAAAGCAATTCATCAAGAAGATTTTTACTACAATTACAGGAATACATTTATGTATATATTAACACTCCGTAGACGTTGCGCACCTACGCCGACCCACCCCCGCCCCCACCGACATGCATCTTCTCCTTCAAGCGCTGCATGAGCTTCGGCTTCTTCTTCCCGTCGGTATGCCCTCCCTCCTGTTCTTCCCCTCCCTCCTCTTCGTCCGCATCTCCATCCGCATCTCCCTCCGCATCCGCATCTGCATCCTGCGAGACACCGCCCGTCGGCGCGTTATCCGCTAACCGGGAGGAATGCAGCGCAGGGGAGCCCTGCTCTTTCACGCGCGGGGCGTCTCCCTCCCCCTCCCGCGCAGGCGCAAGAGGATCGGAATCCCCAGTCGGCACCCTCGACGAGTTCGGCGCCGCGCCTCCTTGCACCCCGGCGCCTGGTGCACCAGCATCGTACATAGTCTGCTGTGCATACGAAGGCAGCCCCGGCGTCGAAATGGACGAGAACGCAGCCTCCCCCTCTCCCTCTCCCGGCGTGGCAACGGTGCTCCCCGGCTCTGTCGAGGCGGCGTACCCGCTGTCGCCGCCGGTGGAGGGCACGAGCGAGGGGGTGGATGTGTTAGCCTCGCCGGGAGTGGGAGGGACGGCGTGCGGCGTGGGGTGCGCGCCCTGATACGCATGCGTAGGGATGGCGTGCACGGTGTTCCGTTCTTCGCCACCTCCACCGGGCATGGCGGCGGGGTGTGATGGTAGGAGGCCCGAGGTCGCGCGTGGACGGGTCGTCTCCGTCTCCGTCTCCTGCTCCTGCGGGAGTGACTTGTAGAGCGGGGAGCCTTGAGGAGGGGGCTTCGACGAGTCGGCGGAGAGCGCGAGGTCGGTGCTCGCTGATGGGGTGAGCGCCGCGGGGCTTTGCACGAGCGGGGAGGAGCCGTTTTCCGTGGGAGGGGAGGGGAAGCGACTAATGGTGGAGGTGATTGAGGAGGCGGAGTAACCGCGTGCGACGCCGGGGTGTGCGGGTAGTAGACCCGATGTGGGGCGTGGGACGCTCGGTGAGGAGGAGGCGGAGGGAGGGTGGATGGCGGAGGAGGAGTGCCCGGTGTGTGCGGTGGTGCTGAGCGCGGCGGAGTCGTCGATTGGGCCGCGATCCGGAGAAGGGTCGTGGGTGTCTGCGCTGGCAAGCGACGCTTCCTCGTCGTGCCCGGAATCGACGGTGGTACTGGTGGCGGAATCCTGTCGCGGCAGGGACGGCGAGGAGAGGGACGAGGACGAGGGCGTTAAAGGGGGGAGAGAGGATTCGGAAGCGGGTGTGGTTAATGTTTCTGATGAAGCTGAAGAAACGGCGGGAAAAAAAGAGATAAGTATCAAGGGCAGGCATCTCTAGAAGGCAAGAGACGCACGCAAGTACGCAGCGACGCCTTGCGGGAGGTACGCCTTTGCGGTAGCCATGGTGGGTAGGAAAGCCTGTGCGCTCGCGAGGAGGGAGTCTAGCGGCTCTTCCCCGTTCACAGATGCGCCATTCGTATTCTCCGACGAGTTGGGTACAGGATCGGGCTCAAGGTGGCTGGGGAAGCCGCCGGGTACGGCAGGGCCAGGCGTACCAACGGGCGTGCGTGTAACGTGCCCGCTGAGGAGGTCGGTCATCCCTTCAGCCCACTCGCTCGCGGGTGTCTGCGGGAGCGTGCCCGAGGGAATAGTCGGGACCATGTTGGGTGGGGAAGTGTGTATTGTGGTCATTCTTGATTATTTCTAACACGTAATTCCAGAGATAAAGCAAAGAATTGAGACGAGTTCAGGACAAAGAGGCCGTCCAATATCCAAAATTTGCGCTCGGTTTTCGCGGTCAAATATCCAAGGAAATCGGCAGAGTATTGACGAGTTCCAAACAGGGTATTATTCAGCCCCATCCCGCTGAAGAACCCAGCCTTTTATACGCGCGGCTTGCCTGTGGAGTACGCTGCATGACGTCTGTGGAGAGAGAACGGAGGCCGAAGGCTGTGGGCAAACAAGCGCAACCAGACCTTGCTGATGGGATCAAATCGGCTTGTCCTCGACTTTCATCCCAAGCACTCTCGTCTCTCTGTGTGCGCGCGTCCTCCTCGACTGGTTCAGTTATCAGTCCCGGGCCTGGCTCACTTCATTTGATTTGTCGTGATCTTTCTCGAGTTTTCTTCTCTTAAACCGTCGGACTTCTCTTATGGACCGGATTTTGAGCCTGAATCTATGCCAGCCACGTACGGATCTATTCTCTTTGTACAGGGATCCGCGCGTGATACGACCTCTTCAAGATTCACGCAAGTGAATTTCCTTGTCCCTCACCAGAATGCTCCCAAAGACTCGCCTTCCTAGCTCGTCGCTCATATAGGAACGCAACTCGGACGAGGTGCACGGTGCACGCCCGCTGGAATTATCGGTGAACGGCCTTGAATCTTGATGCAGGAAGACTGGGCTCGATTCCCGGCGTCCAAAATTGAGCCAGACAAAAGTGGCCTCTTTTTTTTTTTTTTTTTGAAGGAGGGCGACTTGCGAGCCTACGGCGTACATATTCAACAACCCCCTCCTATCTTTTGTTTTGTCTTGGTAATTGCCCAGATCAGACACTTTCGCGTAAAATCCGCCGATTTCTTCACCAACACCACATGCACTTCTCCCCATTACACAATAACTTCAGAAACTCGGACATGGTGTACGGTGCATGCCCGCTCAATTTGGTCCGAACACCTTGCATTATGATGCGGGAAGCCTGGGTTCGACTCCCGGTGTCCGGAATGTTGTAGTCGTTGACATCATACGTTTTTGTTAGTACGTCTTTTCCTTTTTTATTATCATCATACTAACGTGACCTTTCGGCGGGGAGCCTCGTATATGATCTCTTCAAAATTTATATAACTGAACCCGACTCATCGCCTACCGCTCGGAGCCCTCTGGCGCCAAAAACTCACCTTCCTAGCTCTCCACCCATGTGGCAGAATAAATCGGACGTGGTGCACGGCGCACACCTGCTAGTAGTCATCTTGTTCTAAACTTCTGATATAATGCAGGAAGATCGGGTTCGATTCCCGACGTTCGATTATACTGATGTTTTCTCCCTTTTTGAAACATGCATCCGACATCCTCTGTTCTTTTGTTTTCCTAATCACCTAGACTCGGAGACTTTCGCCCTCGCTTCTTCTCACCTCCGTCTGAACAGAACAGAACACCGAAATTTGCCCACTTCTCCCACTGCACAACAGCCTCGGGAAGTCGGACATGGTGCACGGTGCACGCCCGCTCAGAGTATTTAGCCCCTCTGGCTCAAAGCGGGAGGCCTGGGTTCGACTCCCCGTGTCCGGAATGCCGCAATCGCTCGGGAATTTTTTTATAGAGTCCCCAGGTACGTGTTTTCTTTTTCACCATCCTCATTCTAACTTAAGTAACTGATTGGACGTTGATCCTTTACGCGGGCCGGTCGAGTGAAATAATCTCTTCGAATTTCGGTAAAACTGTCTCCTCTCCGTCTGTATCACGCCGAAAGACTCGCCTTCCTACCTCGCCACTCTTTTGCGAGAGTAGCTCGGACGTGGTGCATGGGGCACACCTGCTAGCAGTGCACCGTGTGTTTGTCTCTATACATCCATGCAGGAAGACCGGGTTCGATTCCCGGGGTTCGAAATTCTTTGTGTGTGTCGGTCTTTTTTTCCTTTCAAGGACGGAGTGCTACAGAATAGTTACGCATTCGACAACGCACTCTGCTCTTTGCTTTTAATAATCACTCAGAATCAGCTCATCTAATCCCATCGCTCCGCCGCAAGATTCTGAAATTGCCCACTTCTCCCACTTCCCGACAAGCTCAGAAACTCGGACATGGTGCACGGTGCACGCCCCTTTGACATTCGCTCTAGGTTCGAAAATTGACGAAGGGGAGGCCTGGGTTCGATTCCCGGTGTCCGGAATGACATCGAGGACTTGTGTTTCTTTTTTCTTAGTCTCCAAAGTAGGCTTCGTCTTTTCCTTTGGCATCATGATAGAAACCTTTGCACCTCGGAAATGATATCTTTGAATCTTTCGAGAAATTTACCTCCTCCCTCACCCTGATTCGCCCCAAGGACTCGCTTTCCTAGCTGGAAAGTAACTCGGACGTGGTGCACGGCACACACCTGCAGATATTTGTGGCTCAAAGTATGATGAGGGAGGGCTGGGGTCGATTCCAGTATCTGAGATAATCTGAATTCGAACGTCTTCTTTGCTCTTCTCAGATATATATACTGTACGTCCTTCCGTTTTCTTTTTTATTCTTCGAAATCAAACACCTTTGCGGGGACGTCTCTTCTAGACGGACGATATAATTTGGCTCGCGTCGGCCCGGTCTTGAATTCCGGATCTGGGATGTACGCCGATATCGGCAGGCTCTGACTATCATTCAGATTTGCTGGAGTTGGATTCATCCTTGGCGAAAAAAGTGCAGGTTGCGGAACTCACAAGATCATGCGAAAAAATGGCAGATTTGTCATCTCACATTCGAACGTCGGGAGTCGAACCCGAGCCTCCCACCTGTAACCACCGGCGTCCAGAGCGAGGGAAAGCGGGTGTGCACCATACACCACGTCCGATTTTCTATGTTTATTACCACGAGAAGTATGTAGGTATAATACTTACATTCGGTAAGGAGGGAGCGACTTACATGATAATATGCGAGGTGCGATATAGGGACCGCCCGGCATTCCCTCGATCTGTTCGGCATGTTCAGCTGACTTATCTGTCGATGCACCCGCACCAGTAACCATGTTTTCGCATTTCCCCGCACCGTTTATTCGGTTTCATAAACGCATGATTCGTGACAGCCTCACCCATCAATTAGCTCATGGAGGTATGATTAATTTTTTTTATTAAAACATGATTAGCATAGAGGGCGTCAAAATCGTAAGTACTGTGTGCTAAGTATTAATTCCGCTCGAAGTTATACAGA